TAATTCAAGAAGGGTGAGCAACTACCATTGCAAACAGAAGAATCAGCATCATTGGAGGAGCATCTAGAAGCCATTACAAGTCTTGAATTGCAGCACAACTACCTCTACCATCATCACTTGCAAGGTATGCAAAACCCTTCGAATCTCCTTAGTTATGCTGTTATAGATCATGTGGTTAAGATAGGATTGATTAGAGACCATAGGGAATTGATTCATGAAAACTAGAGAAGGTTATATGAAGTTTGAGGGCAGAGTGATGAAACTGTGATGATCTAGAACTCCTGATTTAGGGCAAGAGAATGTGAGATGTTTGGCTCAGAATACTCACCATGGCTTGTAGATCGTTCTAGGTTAGTTTGAGTAAGATTGGTGATCATGCACACCAGGTGCAATCAATGGTGTCCAGAACTTCCAATCATCGGGTTTTAATGTAGGTTGAGAATTAGGTGAAATTAAAGGCATGATCGTGTAGAGGGGAAGAAATGGAGTGGATTTGGTTCTTTAAGTATGTGATTTCATGTCCTGTGGAGGGAGAACGATGAGCTCGAAAGTGCTTGCATGGGGGTCATTTTCTGAAACCCTAATGGCTGGAGGAAGAAGAAGATACAATGGCCCTTGGATCTGTTGGAAAACTTTGACTTGACCAAGGATCTAACGATCCACATTCGATCTGAGAATTGGTGGGAAATTTCAAATAATGAAACGCACTGTTTCATTTAGTAGAGGGAAATGGGCTCAGATTCTATTGGCACCCCCACGCGCGTGAAAGCCCACTAATTTGAACTGTTTGGTCTTGCTATTCTTACCCCCTCCCTTCATTTCTTTATATTTTCATTTTAATTTCTTTTTCATTTTTCATGCATTTTCTAAAAATCATAATAAATTGAAAAAACATTATTTTTCAATAATTCTTTTTGCATAATTTTCTTTAAAGAGTCTAGAAAATTATAAAAAATAAAAATTGCATTTTATTTTTTATTTGATATTTTTCCCATATTTTCCAAATAAATAGCATTTTAAATAGTTTCATTTCATACATAAATTTGTTAATTTTTGTTCTTATAGTTGCTTTAATATTTTTTGTCCATTCTTTTTAGGTTGTTTAGTTTAGACATACAACTTGTAGATGCAATTTAGTTCCCATTTTTAGGAGTTAGTTTTAGGTGATTAGCTTGGGTGAAAACAACATGAACAAATTAGGGTTTTAAGTGGCAACTTAGGAGAATTAATTCATTTCCCTTAGGGCTTAGAGTTTGAATAGTTTAGCTATGGGACTATAGGGGCTATGGGTAGTTATTGGATCCCCTTAGAAATCACTAGGATTCCCCTACTGCTATTAATATACTGTGTATATTGGATTGACTGGTGTGGTGTGCCCTCTGGGATTCATTGCTTGTTTGTTTGGGTATTGGGATTGCTTGGGGATTTAGGAGAGTTGAAGACTGATGATGATGAAGCCATTGGAGATCCAGAGACTAAAGACCAACTCCCAGAGTTGATGAGGAGATCCCTGCTAGCAGCTGTTGAGGAGATTAGGGTTTAGGAGCTAGGCAGAGCTCTAGATTAGAAAGCTTGATTCTCCAACATGGAAGGTTTTGACTGCCTCCATTCCTCTCTGTGATATAGAGTCTCTCTGAGACACTCACCCCCTTCCTTTGGAAGGCTTGGTGCTATTGTCTAAGGGATAGAACTCTTGAGAGAAAATGTCTTATGTGTTAGTAGCAGTTGGTTTACCACCATTGGTAGTCAACTAATTGCTTAACACCCAATCCACTCTGGTGATTGATCCCTCAGCTTGGAGGATAGGACTTGAAGAAAAGCCATTGTAGACTGAAGATTGACAGCCAAAGCCCTTGCTTGAAGACTGTGAAGATAGAGACTGCTGCTGACTGAGGCTTGTAGCTGATTGGAGATGACTTGAAGATGGATATTGATGCAGAGCTGTTGATGCTGTTTATTTTTGCTGTATGTCATTTCTGATGTATTGATTGGTTTTCCTGACTGTATTGTTTGCTGTTTACCCTGTTGGGTTGAAAGTGAAGCCTGTTCACTTTTGCCTATTGTTTTCTAGGTTCGAGGTTGAGTGAGACTCCCTTGCCTCGCTTGTGTTGTTGCATTCATGCATTTTTACTGCTTTATTGTATATATGTTATTGTTTCTGTTTCCTTCTATTCCCTTAGGATCTCTGTTTCTCTTTGCGCAAGAGAGGAGCATGATAGACACTAGGTCTTAACCCATGCATGACAACATTAGGATAGTTTGGTTCCCTTCGCAGCCGTAGGTTAGAGTTCTGTCTCTTCTTCCTCAAAACAAACAGAAAAATACAATAAAATTTCAAACTCAATAAAAGACACTTCTTCCGTAAAAGAATGTGAACTCATCAAGACGTTATTTTTGTCCGCCGGGACTGTTAATCAAAAAAACCTTTTTCAGAGGGAATAAAATCAACCAAGACAAGCTTGTGTCGTACGTAGCCCGAACTACGTTTGCTCTGATCTTCCATGCAGTGTGGGAGTACGTAGGCATAGGATGCTTTATCCTAGCGAGCAACCTTCCCCTCATTTCCCGTAGGTAGGCGAACTACGTTGACTCTGATTTCTCGTTCCAGACGGGAATACGTAGGCATAAAGTGCGATACTTTGCCGAGTCATTTTATTTTCATTCTCTTTTCTTTTCAACCCCTGACCTTTAGAGTAGATAGAATAACAATCCATACCCGAAAACAAGCGTGGATCCCGTCGAGTACGACGGACGTGAGGGGTGCTAATACCTTCCCCTTGCGTAACCGACTCCCGAATCCAGGTTTTGGTTGCGACGACCATGCCTTTCCCGTGTTGTGCGAGGTTTTCTATGAGTGTTCCCTTTCCCTCCCGTGGGATAAATAACGCGCGGTGGCGACTCTTCTGTTCAGCCGGCGCTGATTTTCGCAGTAGCGACACCCCCAAACTCAAAATCTTTTCAAAAAGGTCTTTCATGTTCTTTTATAGCCTTTCCTATTGGATAAAATAAAAGTCGGTGGCGACTCTTGCTATCCGCACATGTTTTTGTCAAACAAAAACACCAAGTCAGTTCTCCCACTGTGTTACACTTCTCCAACTTAGGAAGGCGCATGGCCATAATCTCCTAGGACAATAGGTCGCGAGGCTCATCGTCGTTGCTGCTGCTGGATCAAGACGGGGAGCGGGTGTCCCGTCTGTAGGTGAGATGGCAATCTCGTCGGAGAGATGGGGTTCGTGCCCGACCCTTGGATCTGGGCGGAGGCGAACGCAAGGAGTCTTCCCGGTGATCTCTTATGGTCCTCTTGTGTTGCAGGGAATGCTGGTTTCAAGGGGAACGTGGTCGCGTTTTCCAAAGGTCTGGGTTTTTGTCTCTGGAGGTGTCCAGCAGTTTCTTTCGCATCGGGGAGGAGGACTTCGTGGTCGTTGACGTTCTTTCCTAGGTGGATCAAATCTTGGACGACTGAACTCTTCTAAGGCTTTAATCCTCGCGCTCTGATTGAGGATTAGGAGGTCGGTCTTGTTGAGAACCTCGAGGAAGGCAGCCATGGCCGGATCGGTGTTGGGCGGAATTGGAACTGGCAGGTGTTCCGGGACGAGTGAGACCTCGTTGTGATCTGCGCGAACAGGGGATGGAGAAGCAGTGGCTCCGTCCCTTTGTCGGAGGACATGGCCACCGAGAAAAGTGGTTGGTTCGTCAGTATCAGTCTTCCTGAAGGGGATGAAAGCAGAGTTGCGAGCATCATGAGTGTTGTCACAGTTGGCCATGATCGAGATTTTGAAGAACTGTTTTGGTCTCGTGTCTACGAAGGGAGAAAAGACGGGGATATCAAGTTTCCCACAGACGGCGCCATTGATCTTGACGGTTGATCAGAACCTGAAGTGGGTCAGAGACAAACGCTTGTGATGCTGGGTGTGAGAGAGGAAGAGGGGTGTACCTGCAAGGCACTCTGATGATAAAGTAAGAATCAGGCAAGAGAGAGAGCAAATACAAAATATGAGTATATCAGGGTGAATATTAGATACCTGACCCTAAAAAATGAGAGGGTTTTTATAGTGCCCCTAGCGCTTGGCCATTGGTCCCTATTTTCGGGACGAGATAACCATTTTCCGAAGAATAGGTAACTGGCAGAACTAACCGTTGGAATGGGTAGAGGTGCCCATAACTAGTCGTTTCTACGAGTAAAGGCGTAGTTACGGGCACAAGCGTCTTTGTTGTTTCTGGATAGTAGAACCGTGCGTGACAGACAATGACTAATGAGGAGAAGTGTAATAACCAATGGTAAACTGGTCAGCCTCCCCTGTTGGAGGGGTAGAAAGGTAGATGCTTCCCCCAAATTGGTTGGACTTAGACAAATATATATATATATATATATATATATATATATATATATATATATATATATATATATATATATATATATATATATATATATATATATATATATATATATATATATATATATATATATATATATATATATATATATATATATATATATATATATATATATATATATATATATATATATATATATATATATATATATAAAGTGGGGATCAACTTACTTTTAAGAGTAAATATTTTTAACTTATTTAAATATATGATTTGGAGTAACTTGATATATATATATATATATATAGGGTCTTGCTAACCAGTGCCCTCAGGGCATTATTTAAATATTTTATATTAAGAAATTATTCTTTAAAAAATTCAAACACTTCAATTTTCAATGCACATTATTGCACATTATTGCACATCCTTTTATAAAAACTTACTATTTAAAGTTTTAAAAAGTGCCCTGAGAGCACTCGTTAGCATTTCCCATATATATATATATATATATATATATATATATATATATATATATATATATATATATATATATATATATATATATATATATATATATATATATAGATTAAAATGTATAACACATTTTTTGTATTAAGATTTGGAGAAAGAACTTGAGTGAAAGGTAGAGAAACAGGACAGCCCAATCAATGTCGAGTGTGAAGATGATCGGCGTGATAGGCGGTGGTCAGATGGGATCAGGAATAGCCCAACTCACCGCCATGCACGGCATCGATGTCTGTCTTCTAGATGTCGACTCTCAAGCTCTTTCAACTGCTTCCTCTTCCATCTCTTCTTCCATCAACCGTCTCGTTTCCAAATCTCAATTATCCCAGGCTACGGCCTCTGAAGCTCTCAAACGACTGCGTTTCACCACTAATTTAAACGATCTCTCACATGCTGATTTCATTATTGAAGCTATTGTTGAATCCGAAGAGGTTAAAAAATCTATGTTTCTTCGATTAGACGAGATTGCTAAGAGTTCTGCAATTTTCGCTTCTAATACCAGTTCCATTTCCATCACTCGTTTGGCATTTTCTACCTCAAGGCCAAAACAGGTAATTCATTCTTCTTCGTCTTTTTATGTGCACACCGTTAGGTATTTATGTATTTAAACTTGTTGTGTTAGGTGATAGGAATGCATTTTATGAACCCCCCACCAGTTATGAAATTGATTGAGATTGTGCGAGGTGCTGATACTTCTGATGATACATTTGCTGCTACAAAAGCACTCTCACAGAGGTTCTAATCTTTACTGTGCTACCATTCTTTGCTATATACGATTATGCCTATCAAACTACTTGTTGATGTGTTTGGCTGCTATTGTTTCCATCCACCCATGATGTTTATGTATGAAGGTTAATATTATTTTCATGAAAATAGATATATGAGAAAGTAGAAACATCTAATGATTTTGCATATCGACAGATTTTTGTATACATTAGAATAGACAAAAACAAAATGGAATATCTTGTTCTATTGTATCTCATTGGTTTCATATGTTTAACAGAACCCAAATGCATCACTCTTTTACCTTATGAATCTTTCAATTATGTTTTTAATATGTTCTATCAAGTATATAATGTAGGGGTTAAATGTGATTTTGGTCCACACTCATTCCATGTTTCTAGAATTGGTCACTGACCCTTGTTTTTTGCTGACTAAACAAATGGAAGTACAGATTATTACTTGTCATATCAACTTTTTAAATTATGTGGCACCTTTTTTTGGTTTGTTATCTTACGCGCGCAACTGCAAAGACTAATTCTTTCGAGAATCTAAAGAGCATTTAAGGGTTGTTTCTCCCAAATGGTGAACTTTCATGTGCACAAGTCATAGATCAAATCAATGGCTACAGGCTTAAGAGAGCCAAAATGCTCATCACTCCGATAACACCAATAGATTTTTAACAAGTACACATATTTCTATCTATTCAACCAGCAAAAAACTAGTGACAGGCCAATTCTAGAAGAGTGTTATAAGTGAGAGAGCCAAACTTAGGAGAAAGATTTAGTAGAAACTGAACTTAAAATATGAGTATTTTGTCAGGACCAAATATGTAATAAACCCGAGAATGTAATCCATATGTTATGTTTTTCAAACTTCTTTACAGTGCACCAGATCAATTCCTTTATGCATAGTTACCTTTAACCTGCGTACACACTTTCTAGTTTTCTTCTTTTCGCCGGTTCTGTTAGATTCTTTTGCCTTATTCTTTTTGTTCAAGGAAGCTGAGCACAGTTCCTATTGTTCTTTAAACTTATGCTGGTTCAATATGTGTTGCAGGCTTGGCAAAACAGTAATAGCTTCCCGGGATTACTCAGGCTTCATAGTGAACAGAATCCTTATGCCTATGATAAATGAAGCATTTTATACTCTATACACTAATGTTGCAACCAAAGAGGATATCGACACGGGAATGAAGTTGGGTACTAACCATCCAATGGGCCCTTTAGAGCTTGCAGATTTCATTGGGTTGGATGTATGCTTGTCTATAATGAAAGTTCTTCATGCTGGCCTTGGGGACAATAAATATGCACCTTGCCCTCTACTTGTGCAGTATGTAGATGCTGGCAGACTTGGAAGAAAACGGGGTATCGGCGTGTATGACTATAGTAAAGAAAAGTCTTCAAAGTCGTCTTCTCGTCTTTAAAATGTTTGGTTCCCTTGGAAGAATAAGTTGCCAACACCACGATTGTACCTTACACTACTGAAATTGAGTGGAATATAGTCTTTAAAATGTTTGGTTCCCTTGGAAGAATAAGTTGCCAACACCACAATTGTACCTTACACTACTGAAATTTAGTGGAATATAGTTAGTCATGTGATCTCCCTTTTACTCATTCACTACTGACAGCTTCATGTTGCTTGTATAATAGCTGAAAAAAATAGAGCTAGAAGAGAGAATGTAGAGATTGTAAAGTGAAAGGTGAAAGTGTTAGTGGGGAACGAGGGTGGCATGGCAATAGCTACGGATGTGAATGTTTAATTAATAAACGAATTCAACTTGTTACAAAATCCAACTTTAGGTTCAATTTATAAAATCCATTTGGCAAATCCAGTTACTTAAACCAATTTTATCATGCATAGGACTGTTAAAAAAACTATAAACTGAACCGTCAAACCGAACCGAACAATCAAATTAAAATAACCGAACTGTTATATTTGATTAATAAACCGAGCCGTTATTTTACTAACGCTTCTTGAACCGAACTACATTAACCAAAATTAAACCATTAAAATATTAGCAAAACACTAAACTTGCAAGCTCCAAAGATGAAAACCCGATGAAGCTCTAAAGATGAGAACCCTAAATTTTTAAATTGTTGAAGTTCCCAAAATCAAAATTCATTCTCACATTCTTGTGCAACTGTTTCCTTCTCTCTCATTTCTCAATTCTGCATCTCATTCTTCCACTTCATTTCATCTTCTGTAAGTATATTTCAAGTGTATCATCTTCGTTTTTCTTTTTCAATTATGCTCTAACTCGTAATGCATTTTCGCTATTTATCATCTTAGTGATTCTGATTTTATATGCTATAAATCCTTAGGTTATGATTAGTTTTGCTATGGTGAAAATTGATTTTGTATCTTGTTCTACAATTTCTAACTGCAATTAGAAAATGTTCATTAGTGTGTTTTGTTGGTGCAAAGGTAAAATAAATGATGAATAGAGAAATATTCTATTAAGAGAATGACGGCTACACACACTACTAAATTGCAATGATTGTTACCCTATTTATAAGCTAATATTAGGGTTACTAGAATAAGATAAAAATACTAAAATATCCTCTAACAAACTTAGGGGTTAAGAAAATAGTACAACTAATAAATATGAATTACTTCTAATACCATCCCTTAATTCATATTCCATCAAAACTTGTAACACCAATTCCATCCCTTAGTCTGAGAAATTGATCAGTCTTGATAGCTTTCGTCAGAACATCTGCCAACTGTTTCTGAGTGCTGCAGTGTACAACTTCTAACACTCCACTCTGAACTTGATGTCTCGGAAAATGATACTTTGTCTCAATATGCTTGCTTCTCCCATGCAACACTGGGTTTCTGGCAAGATTGATTGCAGAGTTGTTGTCAATCATCAACTTCAGAGATTTGTTTATTTTAATCTTCAGATCCTGCAACAGATTCCGAATCCACACAGCTTGGCATGCAGTAACAGCACCTGCAATGTATTCAGCTTCACAGGTTGATAACGCCACAACAGGTTGCTTCTTGGAACACCAAGAAATGGGACCTCCCAGAAATTTGAACAAGTACCCAGAGGTACTTCTTCTGTCAACTCTGTCTCCACACCAATCAGAATCTGAATAACTCAGAAGTTCTGACTCATCCTTTCTTCCAGAAGGAAACAACACTCCATACTTCAGAGTTCCCTTGATATACCTCAGAATCCTGACAGCAGCTTGATAATGGGACCACTTAGGTTTACTCATGAACCTACTAACCATCCCAACAGAATAGCAAATATCAGGTCTGGTATTGCACAAATACCTCAGAGAACCAACCAACAGTTTGAAGGTTGTAGTGTCCACATCCTTTCCATCAGAGTCAGAATCCAGTTTCTGATTTGTATCTGAAGGTGTGACATCAATCTTACAATTCTTTAGTTCAAATCTATTCAGAAGTTCTAATTCATACTTGAGCTGATGCAAAATGATACCTTTCTCAGAATATCTGAATTCCATCCCTAGAAAGTATGTCATTTTGCCTAGATCAGTCATTTCAAATTCATTCATCAAAACTTTCTTGAACTTGGCTATCTCCTGTTCAGAACTTTTAGTCAATAGTATATCATTAACATATAAACATACCAGAGTTATATTGCCTTCAGAAGTACGTTGAACATAGACACTGTACTCCATCTCACATTTCTGAAAGCCTTACTTCTTGAAAAATGAATCAATCTTCTGCTTCCAAGCTCTGGACGCTTGTTTTAGTCCATATAGAGCTTTGTATAATCTGTACATCATCCCTTCCTGATTCTTTTTCACAAATCCAGGAGGTTGTGACACATAAACTTCTTCTTCTAATGGACCGTTCAGAAATGCAGATTTTACATCTAAATGCATCAGAGACCAATTCCTGTTAGCAGCTATTGCAATCACCATTCTGATTGTTTCATGTCTTGCTACAGGTGCAAACACTTCAGAATAATCCAGCCCAGGTTTCTGTAGAAATCCTCTGGCTACCAACCTTGCTTTATGTTTGCCAATTGAACCATCTGACTTTAACTTCTGCTTGAAAACCCATCTGACGCTGATTGCTTTCTTGTCTTTTGGAAGTTCTGTCAACTTCCAAGTCTTGTTTCTCTCTATAACATCAAGTTCTTCTTTCATGGCCTTCAGCCAGAGCTTCTGCTTAAGAGCCTCTTCTGTACTTATGGGTTCAGAGTCTACTATCATGGCACACTGAATAACTTCTCCTTCAGAGTCTACTTCAGTGTCATACAGCATGTCAAATTCTGCATATCTTCTTGGGACGTTTCTGATTCTTTGTGGTCTCTGAACTTGTTCAGAGTCTTGAGCTTCAGATGATTGACTTCCTCTAGAGCTTTGACCATCTTCAGGGTCTGGCATATTTCCAGAGTCTTGAACTTCAGAATTTCTAGCTTCAGAGGCTTGACTTCCTCCAGAGCCTTGGCCATCTTCAGAGTCTGAATTGCCACCAGAATCTGGATTACCATCAGAGTCTGGATCATCAGAGTCTCCTTCATCTTCTGAGTCTTTTCCAGAGTCTGAATCACTATCAGAGTCAACGTAAGAATTTACTCCAACTTCAGAGATTCTTAACTCTGACCTTTCTTCAGAAGTTCTAACATCAGAATCAGATTGAGACTTATCCCAATTCCAAACTTCTGATTCCTTCACAATCACATCTCTGTTGAATTCAATTTTATTGGTTTCTGGACAATAGAGCTTGTATGCACCTGTACTGTGGTACCCTATCAGAATCATCACTTTGCTTCTATCATCCAGCTTCTGTCTTCTGGCTTCTGGAACATGTTTATAGCAAACAGAACCAAACACTTTTAGATGACTAACACTTTGCTTATCTCCACTCCACTTCTATATTGGAACTATTTCCTTCAACTTCTTCGTAGGACATCTGTTGAGTACATACGTTGCAGTGGCAACAACTTCTCCCCAGAGCTTCTGAGGAAGCTTCTTCTCCTTTAGCATGCTTCTCACCATATCAAGCAAAATGCGGTTTCTTCTTTCAGCAAGACCATTGTGTTGAGGGGTATAAGGAGCAGTAACCTCATGCTCAATTCCATTCTCCTCACAGAACTTCTGGAACTCTTTGGAGTTATACTCACCTCCACCATCAGTTCTAAGAATCTTCAACTTCTGACCACTCTGATTCTTAGCCTTCATTCTGAACTTCTTGAATTCATCAAACACCTCATGTTTAAACTTAATAAGGGATACCCATGTCATTCTTGTGAATTCATCAACAAATAACACAAAGTATTTATTCCCTCCAATTGATGCTACTGGAAATGGACCACACACATCAGAATGTATAACTCCCAAGGCATGTTTTGCTCTTGGAGCAGCTTCTGACGCAAATGGCAATCGTGGTTGTTTTTCTTCCATGCAAACTTTGCATGACTTTTTAGGCTTCTTAATTGCAGGAATTCCATGTACCAACTTCTTTGAACTCAGATGTTTTAAGCTTCTGAAATTCAAATGACCAAATCTTCTGTGCCACAACTCACTATCCTTCTCAGCACTTGTTGCACTAAGACATTCTGAGTCTGCAGTTCTGACATTTACCTTGAATGTTCTATTCCTTCCTTGTTCTGACTCCATAATCAACTTTTGATTGCAGTCATACAGCTTCAGAAGATTGTCCTTCATGGTAATTGAAAAACCTTTCTCAATCAATTGTCCCACACTCATCAGATTGCTTCTGATGCCAGGTACATACCACACGTTCTGAATCAATGCTGTTTTCCCATTGTTCAGAATCACTCTGACATTTTCCATACCTTCTGCATTAAGATATTTGTCATCAGCACATCTGATCTTTGTTCTCTTTTCAGAGTCAAAGTCAACCAGCCATTTCTTGTTTCCAGTAAGATGATTTGAACAACCAATGTCCATATACCACCAGTCTATCAGATCCATAATATCAGATTCAGAGGCCATCAATAGCACAAATTCGTCATCAGAACTTCTGGCTATATTTGCTTCTTCTGATTTTCTCTCCTTGTTTGACCAACAATCTCTAGCAAAGTGACCAAACTTCTTACAACAGTAACATTAGATCTTCTTCTTGTCATACTTCTCTTTTCCCTTCTGAGCATTTTTTTTGTCTATCAGAGGTTAAGCTTTCTGACTTCTGACCACCATCATATCTTCTCCTGGCTTCTGACTGCTTCTGATACCTCCTATCAGAAGTTGCTTTCAGAGCCTGCTGCTCTACTTCCTTTTCAGAAGTTCTCTCAGTTAAACGCAACTCTTGCGCTTCTAGACTGCTCTGCAGCTCTTCAATTCTCATGGTGCTCAGATCTTTGGAATGTTCTATTGCTACCACAATGTAGTCAAATTGAGGGGTAAGGGATCTCAATACTTTCTCCATGATTGCTTCTTCAGAAAGAGTTTCTCCACACGCCTTCATCTCATTAGT